AAACTGCAAATTTTAATTGTTTGGAGTGCAGCGGAGGCATTTAATGTTTAGTCAATGTAGTGCAATAGTTGTTGATTAGTTCATTATTTGTCTTATATTATCTGTTATAGTATCAAATACGTACGTACGTACGTAAATTTGAAAACTTCATGTCTTTCTGCATGCATATAGTGTAACAAAACCAATTTTGACTAAAAAGTCGTAGCCCATTATTCATTAAGCAAAAAAAAATGTCTAATTGATAATTTTGCTATAGTTTTAGTTGGTTAGTATTACTTAATGCCAGTTCTGATGCTTTCCACCTGAATTTTTGACGGTTGCCTTGCAACAAATCTATCTCATATTATAGGATAACTAATTTATTGAAATTTACTGTATTGCGAAAAGGATAGAGAGATCGTACTAAAAAATTAATATGTTGTATGTATAGTTCCTGCTGGAAGTAATGAACGGTAATCACAAAAATGATGCTTTGCAAATATAATTATTACTAATGTTACTAATGTACTGTATTTTATTTATAGAAAGCTATTGAAATTTTAAATGATATTTTTAACAACGGTACACATAACTGAAGAATATTGGACACTATTAAATTATAAATGGTCATTATTATCCTTAATTTAACTACGTCGATACCTATTTAACAACATCAACGATTTCTAATTTACCGATCTTTATCAGTATTTCGGAAAATTCATCTTCAAATAATAATTTACCTATCGCAATTGGTATTTCTGTGGGTGTGATAATTATTGTTATTTTGTCTTTTGCTGGGTTTTTGTTATATAAGAGGTCTAAATCAAAAATAAATTATATCCCGACACCTGGTGGCAATAGTCAATGTAACCTTGATGTTTTATATTAAGTGAAACTTAAACATATTTTAATCACTTAATGTATTATCTGACTAGTTTGAAAATCATTTTAAATCAAACAAGGCCTGTCATTATAACTGTTTACTAATACATTCGTACCTCTCTATATGATTGCAACGGGACCATACGTAAAAATTTAAACAAACATGCATTTAGAGGGCTATTTCGTTCATGGCGTAAAAAAAAAAAAAAAGAAAGAAAAACTAAGCACTACATTATTGGTTAGGCCCAAGTGGTAACGAGTGCTTAGAAGCTTCTTACAATTACGGCAAGTTTATAGCATTATATCTGTGCCTATAAATCTGACACAATCAATTTCAAAGCTTGCTTTTTAAATCTTATACATGATAAATTTTTTTCTATGTTTTGCAAAATTGTGTTGCACAGCTACTTATTCGATTTGTTAATTTTATACCCTAGAATTATTTTAATAAATTATGATGAGTTATGACATTATTTTCGTACTTCCAGGTTAGAAGCAATTCAACTACAATGTATGGTTTAAATCTTATGCACAACATATCCTTCCTTTCCTAGTTTCATGTAACTACATTGCACAGCTACTTATTTGTTATTAAAATATAAAAAAATTAAAAGTTATTAATAAACTTCTTCCTTTTTTTTTTGTTTTGGTAGAGAAAGGAATTTAAAAAGTTTAAGCTGAGATAGGCCGACTAAGACTTTCAATTTGTTTTGATATTAGTGCAACAAGTTGTAGCTAGACACATATTATATAGTTAGTTAATATTAAATTTACAATCTTAGATATCTATTAGTTCAATTTTTAGAAGTTTATTTTTTTTGATTATTTTAATAAAGTTTGTAGTGGAGTTTTGGCAAGACCATTAAAGATTTAAAAAAAAAAAAATTTTAAGTAAAATTTATATTTATTACTTATTGTTATATAGTATTAAAATTTTATTATTATTGTATTAGCAATTATTTAATACTTTTTGCACTTATTATTTATATTAATATTAAGCCAAAAGATGCTAAGCAAAGGTAATATATCTATATGAAGTATTAACTAATCTGTGCCAATTTTGTATAATCAAAGAAGTAGTATAATTTAATTAATTTTCTAAAAATAGTAATCATTAACTTAATATAGATGACTATAAAAATAAAATAAAAAAATTTATATTAACTATTAACAATTTAACTTTGAAGACTGACTATTTGTAATTTGGCTCT